TCCCGTTGGCCCTGTGAGGTGCGGCGGGAGGGGCGGGGCCAGGTGAGTGACGTCATGCAGCGGCCATCGGTAAAGCGCTGCCGGGACGAGGGATCGGGCGCTGATTGGAGGGCGAGATGTCACTCAGAGGGGGCGCCGTGAACTGATTGGGAGAGAGTTAATGGCCCCCACCTCAGGGAGCCCCGCCTCCCACGTCATCTGATTGGGTGTGGAGCTGCCACTCAGCCGCAGAACGAGTCTTAATAGGACATTCTGTGGTGGGTGGGACTGAGCGGTTCCATATAAAGGAGCGCCGGGGGCTTTCTGGAAGCCGTGAGGGTGTACGAAGATCCCTGATGTCGCGGTTGTGGTGCCGTTCCCTCGGGCGTGGATCTCTCTGAGGTGTCCTGTGCTCCCTTGTTGGAACCAGTTACGTGTTTAGGGGAGCCCTCCCCCATTTTTGCAGCCTCAATAAAGTCCGAGCAGCCACGCGTGTTTCTCCGGTGTCTCGGTCAATCCCGGTCCCGGGGTGGGTGAGCCAAGCTCCAGGGCTGTGCCCTGTTTCCGTGGTCACCGCTGCCGTGGAGGTTGATGTTTTTCATCCCCCAGAGCAGCTGACTGTGACAGCTCATGTGCTGTTCTGGTGTTTGAACTCCCACCAGTTTCTTTCCATCAACTATTTACTCTAAAACCCATTTTTTTAAGCTTATACCAACATTAGCGCCAGCATTACCCTGTGTGAGGAAAAGCTGTGGTATGGGAACCTCTCCCCACCTGATCTGCAGCAAAGCAAAGCTGGTTTCCCTGCACTGCTGGCCTGTACTGCAGCACCCCTTGATGACCTGTCAGCCCCTCAGGTCACCTGCCCATCTCCCTGCCTCTCCTGGGCACAAAACCGCTCCTTAATCTACTTAAACCAAGTGTCTGCCCTGGCTTTGGAGTGAGGACATCACCTCTGCCTTCGCACGGCTTCTGTCTCTTGCTCTGGCCCGTGGAGATGTCTCCTTCCCAGTGGCTGGTGGCAGCAGGTGTGATGGTGCTGGCCGTGGAGGAGATGATGGGCAGGTCCCTTGACTGCTGTGTGTCAATGGCAGCCTGGGCCCATGGCAGGAGAGAAGGGTTCATGGCTGTAGTGAGGATGATGATAACACAAACTACTCTCAGCACTCACTGTCCGTGCAGTTGGTACTGCCTGTGGCCGCTGTGCCCTTCAGCATCCACTGGAAATCCGATGTCATGTCTTCAGGGTATGAATCTGCAGTGATTAGAAGGAGGAGGATGCTTTGCCCTGCCACACCTTGGGGGTAATCTCTCTGTCACTCTGCCTGAAGGGATGAGCTCATGCTGTGAGAGCTCCTCTTTTAGAGCTGCTTTCCTTCCAAAGCTGGCACATGTTTATTTTGAACTTAAAATGAGATGACTGTTTCCATCCATTTCCAGCATTAACCCTTGGGTTGCTATTTTCTGTTTCCTCCCACCTGGCATTTTTCAGCACCGTTCCCATCACTGACAAAAGTCATGGACAACAGGAGGCTGCTGGAGCAGCACCAGTGTCCATAGGATCCTGATGTCCCCAACAGATCCAGCAGCAGCTCAGGTGGTGGAGCTGCCACTCTGCTTTTTAGCTCTGTGGAGGGGATGGCTGGAAAGGGAGAGCTGTGTGCTCTCCTGTGTGCCAGGAGAACGGACAGTGCCTGGTACTCTGGCTGGGGCCCTGGGATGCTGCCACAGGGCTGGTGCCCCCTGGGAGAGCTGGCCTGGCCAGGTCCCCACTACTTGCCCTCGACTGGGTATTTTTAGAGGCAAAATGTTGTTTAGTTGTGAGAAGGAGAATGGCGGTGGCAGGAGGGGAAGCTGGGCAGCAGCGATAGGGCAGCTCCTTCCGCAGGCAATGCCTGTGCAGCTCCAACCACTGGTGCCAGACGCCTCCAGGAGTCAGCACTGGGACCCATCCCAAGCCAATTCCACTGGGAACCTCTGCTGACTCCAAAGCTCACACCATGAACCTCCCCACATGGGGCCAGCAGGCACTGTGATCCTCACTGTGATCCCTCCTGGGGATCCTCACTGCTGCGAGTACCCACATCCCATCCAGCATCCCATCCCATCCAGCCCCCCCAGACCCCAGCTGAGCTGCACCCACCCCGACAGGGGCTGGGGGGGCTGGCGGGGGCCAGTGTTCCTTGGGCTCCAGCTCCCAGGCGCCAGCGGCTGTTTTTAGCCAGAAGAAAGTCCAATGTTTTGAGATTTTCTATTTTGAGCAGCAAAGCTGAAGAAGTGGAGCAGCCCCTGACCCCCGGGTGTCTGTGCAGAGCGATGCAGGCAGCCAGGCAGGGTGGGTGTGGGGCAGCTTCTGCCCCCCAAGGGGGATGCGGTTGCCCCCGGGTCTTCGCCCCACAGCTGCCTCTGTGGCCTCTTGCACGTCAGGCTGTGCCGGAGCCTGTTCCCATGCGATCCCATCTCTGACACTCTCCCAAGGGAGAACGGCCTTTCCGGCACTGAGATATCATTCCTCCTTTCCCTCCTGCAGCAAGATCCCAGTCCAGCCCCCAAGCAGGATGTGGGGTGTCCACACCAGACCTGCGACCCTCATTCCCCACCGTGGCTACGTGTGTGCCCTCACAGAGCCCCCGTGACATAGCACAGCTGGCATGTTCCCAGAGGGGACAGCCCAGGCAGAGAGGCTCAGACTGGGCTGCTGTGGTGGCACAGCCAGCTCAGCCCAGTGCTGGTGACACTGCCACGTGGAGGGTTTTGTCTCCTCGCAGCAGCTGTGGGGTCCATCCCCTGCACAAGAGAGTGCGGACATTCATCTGAGAGTGGGGAGGGCTGGTACTCACTGGAGCTGCCACAGCAAGTTGTCACCATCACTGCTGCAAGACATACATGTGGGGTGATGCAGGTGACAAAAGGTGCTGGCAGCTGGTGCTGCTTTTTGGGCTCCCTGGAGGCAGATGCCAGCACCAGGCACAGGCTTTGGTCTCGTTTTATTCAGTCCTGCATTTCCAGAAGCACCTCAAGCTGCACACTGGCACTGCCATCCAAGCTCTGTGGTAGGGCCAGATGCTGTGAGCACTGAGCAGGGTAGGGGGCCACGTCCCCGCTGTCCCAACGGGTCCCTAAGTGCAGTGCCGACGGGGGACGGCGAGGAGCCGGCGGAAGGCAGCACGGAAGTCCCGGTTGAAGAGGGTGTAGATGAGGGGGTTGACGCTGCTGTTGCAGTAGCCGATCCAAAAGAAGAAGTTGAAGAGGGGCTTGGACACGTGGCAGCCCTTCCCACAGAGAGCCCCCAGGCTGTAGGTGAAGAAGAAGGGGAACCAGCACAGCATGAAGGCCCCCATCACCACAGCCAGCACGACGGTGAAGCGCCGCTCCCTCGCCCGCACCAGCCGGCGGCGGCACAGCAACACGCTCTGGTGCTGGCTCCGGCGCCTCCATCCCGGCATCCCAACTCCCGACACCTTTCCATCACCGCTGGAGGGGCGCGGGGAG